AGATCAAGAAAATCAAGAAACGCGACGACGACGCCGGCGACCCGCTTCCGATCAAGAAAATGGCGTCCCTCGCCACCCATCTCTCGGCCTTCCTCTTCCTCTTCCCCGTCGGCCTCCGCCGCCTCCTCTGCTCCTACTCCCTCTACCTCAAGAACCCCTCCTCCTACAGATCCAAGCCCTGGTACTTCTCGGAGCCCCGGTGGAAGAACCTCGACCTCTACGCCCTCCTCGTCGCCCTCCCCATCGCCTCCTTCTCCGAGTCCTTCCTCTTCCTCACCTTCTCCGGCCCCCCCACGTACCGCTTCGCCTTCTCCCAGCAGTCCGCCGCCGTCTTCCTCTTCTGGGTCCTCGTCGTCCTCGTGATATTGAAGGAATACGTGGACGGCCCCGCGATAAGCGAAGGGTACGTGTTCGTCGTCGCCGGCGTTGCTTTCTTGGTGGAGTATTCGGTGATCGGGAAGGGGGTCGGCGGTCTTGGTGCGCCTGTGTATGAGCTGCTGGGGAGATTGAGTCTTGTCTGTGCTGGTTCTTGCGTGTACTTGGGGGTGAGGCCGTCCGCGTTCTTTGCAGAGTACTTGTTGTCGTCTGGCTTGGTGTTCAAGGGGACTTGGGCTTTGCAAGCTGGGCTGAATTTGGGTACTGATGTGTTTGCCTTAAAGGGGTGTCACAAGTCGGGGGTTTCGACAGGACGGTGGGATCTCGATGTGAAATGTGCTCTTGAGGAGGATGGTCTGCGGGGCGTCGCACTGATGAATCTGTTGTTTATCGTGCACGCCATCGGGGTTGTCGTTGTCGGCTTCGGGCTGTTTGGCTTGTTGTCGTGTAACCGGAATTTGAGATTCGGCGATGCGAGTGGGCCGTTGTTGGCTCAGCTTGAATCGGAGAGCATGTTGATGCGGCCGGCACCTCAATTTGAGCTGGAATGAAGGTCACTCATATTTGCTCCTTCTTTTTGTAATTCTTCACTTCATTTAGGTAGGCTACTTTTGCCTGTTCGTGGTCGCCAATGAACAACTGATTCTTTTAAATCCTTCTTTTGTTTCGCAATGAAAAGAGTTAGTAGAAATTTTGCTTTAGTGACTGGTTGCCAACAAATGAAGACTCTTTTGTTCAAGTCTAACTGATTGCACCTGATAGAGGAAATAGGGGATCACAATTCATGGCTACCACTTGCTCCACGGGACCATCATGCATTTGGGTCTCGTGGTTGACATGTAATGTTTTGTCCTTCACTTATGTATATACCCTACATTAAAAGTTTTGTTTGGTTTGTTCATAAGTCGAGGGCATATGCCCTGCAAATTGGCAGAAACATGGTTCCAAAGATGAGTACGAACATGAAGAATTGATCAATTAGACAATTGGAGTAAGCCCTTCGCTTTGATTAGTATATTTCTGGTGTCTTCAGCGCTGCATTTGTGGCATCGTCAATTATGCATCACCACCACATGGAGTTGCTAGTGTTACATTTGGGAGCAATCTTAGTTCTTTGAAGCTATTAAAGCTCTATGATTCGACCCCAAAAAAACAGATCTATGAACATTGGCTCTATTTTTGTCTAATGGAAAGGTCTAGAGATTGTTTCCCAAACTTCGTTATGAAACATTGGCTCTATTTTTGGCCACGGTGGGTGGACTAAACCGAAGCGTTGACGAGACACTTGAGATATAAATGAAACATTTTTTCTCATTGCACATGACATATTTGTTTGAAGCATCGATGACAATAAGCCTAATTGCTGTTGATGCCAAGTTTCCAAGAAACAGGAACGGTGATTCATTAGGAGAGCAATTATGATCCTCTGATCATCTGATGTTACCAAAACCAGTTGAAGGGGAAAGGCCTAACAGCAACTCGTTTTATAAAAGGCTGTTTAAGACAAACTTATTGTATTGCTGTTCTTTTGGAAGATCCTGGAGGACAGAGAAATAGTTTTATGCAGAATTTTTGTGAATGTTTAAATAGATGTACCCAATTTTGTGGTTTATTATTTTGGTGTGATTGAGTAGTAGACTCTGCAGCAGAAGGATATTTTGGATTTCAATTGTAGACTTTATTAGGCCGACCCATGGTCTTGGATTCTGCAAATGATTCTATTGATTTTCTCGGCGAAGATTTTTTCTAGTTCACGATCTTAGATTTTGAGATACGAATCTATCTCTTCACTCATGCGTCCAACTGTCAAAGAACACAATTTGTTTGGTCGGCATCAAGTAAGCATTCTATTCTATGGGATTTTGGCCAAACCTCTGTCAACATGCGCTGGTTCAGAGCAAGCGCCTTTGTCATTATAGATTGAGTCACACAACATGCCAATTTGAGCTGGAGAAAAGATCGATGATCCTCTCTACAGAATGGTAGAATGACAGGTAGGTTCCTTACACCTGCTTATGTGACCTCTGTGATATTTCTGTTTACCTGAAGTTGTAGATTACTAAATATTTCCAGTGAAAGGATTCAAGCCACTTTATGTCATCAATAATGCTATGACAACTTTAGCAAGGCATGTCTGCCACCTATTGGACCCACGGGGGTGGTCACAGTTAGGTGCTTAGCCCACAAATTGCTAGCTTTCCCTTTCGAATCCATTCTACATGGCTATACTTTTACATTTTCTTTAGGGACTGATCAGGTGCTCTAGTGGCAAGTATGGTGGATCATCCACCATCATTTACATTGGCCGCCCCTGCAGTTCTCTTACGGTTGCATTGTCGAATTTACTTTAGAAGGAGAGCAGTTGCTTGCTCCTTCCAACCTCTCAGTTGGCTAGACCTACCTTCCTAGTTCTTGCTCATCAATTTTCAGAAAACGAGACACGTGAAGAAGTAGTATGATTAGGGGCCTTGAGACGAGTTACGGGTCAATTAGCTTGACTTTTCCATGCTTTTGACTTCTGAAATAGTCAGCTAGATGTAGTCATAATGGGACATATAAATATTTCTTTCTTAGAGGAATTGAATGAATTTAACAATTTCAATTGCAGGTATGTTGTCTTTTTCATGGTACTCTTATAAAACCCTTTTCAGAGGTTATTGCCGGTGTTTGCTTTATATGGTGAAATGTCATTGTCGTCACCCTCTCTACCTAAGTGGCATTTTAATGCGCCATATTTTGAGTCTCAGACGGTCATAGCGGAAAGAAGAGTAGTTGTTAGAAACAACTGGTTGGAACTTTCGTTTTTGATTACGCCAAGCTTTTGTTTTTTGAAAGCGCTATTCGGTAACTGTATCAAGACTCTGCAGACTGAACTGACATGGATTCTTTGGCCATGGCCATGATACAGAAACCCAAAAAAAAAAGAATTGGAAAAGAAAACTGAGGACCATAGCAACTCAATAGGCTGATCAGCTACGAGGTAAAGTTTTATGAAGAATGATGCCTGATTCTATGATTGCGATCGAAATCAATGGAGATGCTAACGGTTGCAGCAGAAGATATTGGTGCGATCACACGAAAGCTTAGCTCAGATGAAAAGGAGCAGAAAGAAACTCAGTATAGACTATAGTCTATATAGATTATTCTGTCAATTGCCCAATTTGAGACTAGCATTTCAATGGTTTTCCCTTCATTGTATGGTCACTGAGCTCGCTGAAAGTGCTTACATTGTTATTTTGCTGCTGCTGCTGCAAGAATTGAGTTTTCCCTTAAGCTGACCTTTATCTGTACGTAACTCACTTATTTCCGCATTGGCTTCCAGCATCCTCAAGATATTTTGCTCTGATAATGTCTGCAATCTCTATCAACGCAATTCCCACATGTTGAAATTCAAGCTCCACTCAAGTGGCCCCGACTTTCGAACAATAGTACGAGGTACTACCATCGGCTAGCTGTCAGGATAGATGAGTCAAAGAAAGAGTAAGGATTGTGTGACAATTTGTTTGAACCCTCGACAACATCCCTAACATGCATCGGGTGTCTCATTTGGAATCTATCTAATTCAATGATCTAGATAGTTACGATCAATTCACGTTATTAGTTCTTGATTCTTATAATCTCATTAGCTAAGTATCATCACCGCAAGCATTTCCACTAATCACTTAACTGACCACCATTACAGTTTTCATATGAAGCATCTATTTTTTGAAGAAATAATGATAAAAAGATAGGTTCAATTGTTACAATATGGTAGAAAAAGATTCAAATACTATTTGCAGATGGTATCTCAAATTGCGCAACTATTCCCGAATTTGTCAACTTCCCCATGGACATTCTTTGCTGAGCACAGGTTAGATTGTTGCTTCTTTGTAGTGTACATTGATGTTCTAGTTGGACTGCGTTTTCTCCTTCCCAAAAGGAGGGAATCATATTTCTCTTTAAGGCTCCGTTTGTTTAACGAAAAATGAATGATTTGAAAATTATTTTTCTAGAAAATAATTGCTTAAAATAATTAGTCAATGAAAAGTTTTCATTATCGACATAAATTTATGTCTAAACATTTTCGTGGATGATGAAAACCTTTTTTGTTCGTTCATTTTTGTAAACGACACAAGCAACCATATTTAGAATTTTTTTTTTCTAAATCATTCATTATACGCCAAGCAAATTGAGCCTTCAAGTGTTAATACACCGGTAGAACCTTGGATGATATGAAGGACAAAGGACAGGTGTAAATTACTATTAGTTTCGAGAGGATCAATATTGGAGCGATATAAAGAAAATGAATTAAAGCAATGTAACACGATAGATTATGAAAGTTTCAGAGATCCCCAATCAATTACCGCGAGTCTAATTGATCATCACTGGTCAAGTCATATAAATGTGTTTTTTTCTATTTTTCTTCCAAGTTGATAATTTCATGTGATTATAAGAAAAATACAAAACAAGAAGAAAAATCAACTATGCATCTTACAAAGAAAATCATACCATGTAACCAATAACGATATTAACTAACATTACCAAACACAACATAGGAGAGGAAAGTTAGCTCGGCGAGAGAGGGAGGGGGTCCCACAGACAGACCACACAATGCCTATCATATATATATTCACGTGTCCCACCAACCCGAACTCCCCCTATTCTATTCCATTTCGCAGGCTTCGCTTCCGTCATCGTACGCGCACATTCGCATCTCCTTGTCTCCCGTCGCTTCCATCGAAGAGCGGGTGCTGCTTCAAAGTCGAAAAACTCATGACGATCTCTGCACTTCTCTGGGTTCTGGGCTTCTAGCTGTTCTTGCCCGTGTCGGAGGGGAAAGAGAAAACGACGGTTTCTTGCCCACCCGAGTTTGCAATCAGCATTGGTTTCTCAAATCATCTCGATCTGCAGCTGCAAATTTGGGGACTTTCCGTTTCTGCCGTCGTTTCCGGCTTCTGGGGGTTCTTGGGTCGTTGCCCTTTTGGTTTTTTTATCTTCTGGGGTTAGACCTTTTTTTGTCTTCTGGGGTTAGATCAAGGATCGGGTCAAAAGGCGGGCGTTGACTTTCATCTCTGCGTGCTTGCGATCGCGTGATTTTTAAGCAATTTGGGCAAATGGGTTTTCCTTTCAATCCGGAGGCCCTGAATATTCTCTCTTTGCTTAATGTTTTTTGATCCGGGTTTCGACTCGACATCGGAAGAAAATTTTTGGTAATTCTGTAGTAAGTAGCTCTTGTAACTGTTGATGGATGAGGGTGCTAAGGATGCAAACGGCTATGATAAGAAGCCTGTGAAGCCTGTGAGTGATGTAGACCCTGGAAAGGTTGAGGGTAATGGTGATGTGGAAGAGGACAGCGAGGTGAAGTCGTTGTTGCCGCCGAGAGGGGTTGGGATGATTAGAACTTCCGAGAAGACAAGGAGGAAGGTGCAGTGGAATGATAGCAACGGCAACAATCTCACCGAGGTGTTGGAGTTTCAACCGAGGTATGACACTTTAGTAGTATGTTAAATGTTTGATTATACTCTTAAAAGTTTGTAAGCTGGCATGTTTGTGATTATAGGATTTATTTAGGTTGTTAATGTAGCATTTTCTATGCTGAATTGCCTCAAACTTATTAAAGCTTAGTCATTATTGTTGTAATTGCGGTTCTTCAATTTGTGGTGGGTGGCTATTAAGGGCAGAATTTATGGTTCTTATTATCTTCTTAGGTGAGAAAACAGAGAAGGTAGTTGTTATGATCTTACAGTAGTCTGACTGGTTAGCACTGGTCTTATATCCTGCCTTACTGGGGATGATGTAACTAAGAAAGCTTAGTAAAGTAAAGTGACTTTTGAGGTTGTCTTGCAACTATAAACACAGGTAACGTATTGTGGTATAACCGGTACTGGTGCTTGATTCTGAGTACAGTCTAAAAGGGTGAAAGAAATTGGAGTTTGACTTTTGATGGCTTCCATAGAACTTGATGTATGTCTGATAAGTTTCCAGAGAGTGCAATAGATGCTAGAGTCGGTAGTCTCTGTTGGTGAAGGAGAAAAGTTACTCTTAATATTGTTTTTCGCTTTGATACTTCTATTTGCTAAAGGTTGGAAATGAATGGTTGTAATACCATTAGTTCAGTATGCCATGATAAGTTAATATTGCTGCCGTAACTACAATTTGACTTCATGCATGCGGTTGTTACATGTTAGTCATTGAGAACGGGAATTACCTAACTGTTGTTTTTTGTCTATACTTAATATTACTGGAGGATACAGTATAAGCGAAAGCTCAATGGGTTAAGAGGATCCATGTAGTTGACTACACTTAGTGGGGAAACACTCGGTAAGGTGGTGTTATCTAAATTTTATATAATTTATAAACTTAACTTGTTCAAGCAACTAGAGCTTTAGTGATGCTAACTGAAGCAAGGTCGATCAAGATTTTTCCATCATTGCGCTACATAATGTGTTTCTCTCTTCACCCGTTTTATAGTTTTGGCGATACAATTGCAGTTTATGCTTTCTTATGTCTGGAACTTGTCAGCTTAGCTATTCAACAATAGTCTTTGAAACGAAATCCAATAAAATTGAGAAGCCATATCTAGGGCTTGTCAAGCACTGGCCGAAGCTTTACTTTCTTTTGGACATTGTGAACATATGACTGGGCCATCTTCTATGACAACGACCAGTTGCTTTAAGAAGGTTTTTAGCTTTTTCCACTAAAATAGATCAATTGGAAACTCATTTTCATGGTCCACTGTGGAAAGACCCATGCTAGACATGCTTTTTAGCAGTCTCTATTCTTCCCTTACAAATTTTCATCAGATTTGGGATCTTACTGTTAGAGGATTGAGCCTTCCTGATTATTGAAAACCGCACCAGAGAATTTGCAGATTATGATATTATTTGAGGAGAAGGAAGGCCTTAAATTGCATAATTTATCATGTTAAGACCTCTTTATCAGTCTTTTTGTCTAACGTGCTCAGAGTTCAGCTATCTGAGATCATCTTCAATCTTCATGTATATTTCTAATATGTGTTAGACTTTAGTCCTCGTCAAATGAATGTAGACAGTGATGTCCGTTATTTTAATTCCAACCTAGGAGGTAAGGCTTCTAGTTATGTTGGTTGAGGGTTGATTTGTGTCATCACTTCGAATATATAAGGATTCTCCATGTACCTGGGGATATTTAATACTCAAACGTGCAAAGACGCAGTGGAGAATATTTTTTGTTGAACTCTACAGCCAAGAGTAGGCGATGAAGAGGTTGACCTAACTCTCATAAAAATGAAGCAGACAATAAGCAGTGCATGAACCCTTTTGGACCATAATCAGTATGTTCTTAAGTTTAACCCCATCATATACAAAAATGAGTGCCTACACTTGAATGAAAGCATGACATAAAATGGGATGGGGAATGTGATAACTTTGTAAGTAAGGGGAGGAAAGATAGGGATTCTACAAGTGTGAAAAGATGAATGGTTTCATCTGATCCTGCACGTCACATATGGTTGGCTTGATGCTCATGATCATACAGATCGGTTGCTTTAATTTTGAAAGAATATGCCTTCTCACTGGTCCACTGGTCAGCTCATGTTCTGGACTGCCATATTTGTTCTGTGAAGACATTTTGCTTTCTTTTCATGTTCAATTTATTAGGATGGTGTGACCCTTACAGGTCTTGTGATCTTTTTGAGTTCGTGCATGTAATACTAATCTTGTAAAGCTGTAACGAAATTGTCGCTTGCAGGAAGTTATATGTAAAACATATGGATCGTCCATGCACTCTTCATTTTACTAAATTGAAATGCATTAGGGAAGTTCAAATTGGGTATATATGTATATATATATCCCAGATAGAAGAGGGTCAAGGCAAGGGAATTTAGACGATGGATGTGAAGAACTAGGAGAGCTTATCCTTATGGTACTAACAAGAGAGTAGGTCTTCATATCGACCATAGGCCCATTAATATCCCTTCAAAATCAAAACCAATGAATGATGAGATGAATATACTGAAGAAATAAACAATTGTCGTTTTTTTCTGGATGTCACAGCCCAATTTGTCTACGAAAAGTTGCTGCAATAGTAGTGTATGGTGGGTTGGGTGTCCATTAGGAATCCATTATTATTTAAATTGTCTGCACAAGTTGCTGTACTTTTCTTGTTTCCTAATATTCTTCTTGCCTTTGTTTTGGTTTGATTTAGAACTTCTATGATTTAACTGCAAATTAGCTAAGAAGCAGAAGAGTGGCGATACATGTTCCATCTCTAATTGGTCATCGCAGTACTAATTTCTTAAACAAACTCATCTGTCTGATGATGAGTGCATCCTTTCAACTGCATATAGCCTGAAGTAAACTTGGTGAACAGATCACCAGATTCCTCTTTCTGATCTCTTTGCTTTTGAATATGCTTCCCTGTCTTTGAGTTCGAGAATATATTTGAGTTTTGTCCACATATGATGCATAGGCACCTTCATGCCAATTAAGCAGAAAATAGAGTAGGGGTACTCGAGAAGGAAGCCACTGACATTAATAATAGTCAAACGAAAGCAATAGTGGTTGTTGTAGACTCACTGTTCTCTGCTTGATAAAATCAGATCTGTGAATGCTTGAACTCTCAACCATTGCCAAAAAAGAAATGATAAAGATTGTATAAATAATCTCATCTAAACAATCTTTGTGGTTTTATGCCAGTTAAGTGCACTCCCTAGTTCTTTTTTTTTTTTTTCCTACTTCACCTTTCTACAGATGTTACTGGACTTTTATTGCTTTTTCCCTGAATTTGATGCTTGGTGATGAGCATTGCCTTGTTTGTCCTGCAGTGAGCCGAGCGACAGTGATGATGAGGATAATGATTCTTGCATATGTACCATAATGTAGTAGTGATATGACTCTGCACATCACCACATAGCAGATTGGCCATGTCGACACCATCCCCTATTGGGTAGTGGGATCTGCTTGAGGATGGTTGTTTGGTTCAGGAATGGCAAGCAATGAAAATTGCCTCCACTAAGATTGTTCTCCGCGACATCATGAGTCTTTTAGTGACTACGGCTACGAACAAAGGAGGAAAGAGTAGTGCTTTATCCCAAAGAGGAAAAGAAGATTTTGAGTTCATCTTGATAGTCTAAGATGCAATACTATGTATAAAATACATTACACATGAATTCATACCGCGCTTACTCGAGTACGAGTCTAATTAACAGTGACATTACCACGCAGGCTTCTCAATGGCAAGAGACGCGGATACTGAGTTTTCTGGATACATATGTCTCTCTCTCTCTCTCTCTCTCTCTCTTTCTCTCTCTCTCTCTCTCTATTTTTTCTGGATAGTGTGATGGGAAATTGTGATTCTGCAAAGAAACGAGGGTGAATAAGTACAGATCTGTATAAGTTGTTATGCTAAGGGCATTTCTATGATCCTGTGCCCACTTGCCCATTGAAACTGGCTGTAGCCAGTTTCTTACCAGAGTTGTTAAGAGACTTACTTCAGAATGTCAAAACTTACTGACATTGATATGTATGTATATCGATAATCTTGAGCGCATGTGAGATTTTTGCTAATCACTTATGACTATTACTAGTAAGTAAAGCGCTACTAACCACATTAATCTTGATGATTTTGTGTATTAGAATTTACTAAGCATATTGAAACTCAACCATATGTGAAAGAAAATTAATATCCATCTATGATGATCACCAAACTCTCAAAACCATGTTGGATCGCGCTGCTTATGTAAATATTTTGTTATACCGGTTTCAAAACAGCATGAAAAAAATTAGATACGAATCTACGTGTCAAAATTTGTATGCGGAAATAACCTTAGGTGTATCGGATTAACAAATGTTAAAGTGCGTGTGCCGAAAGAATTTCATTAAGCATAAAAGTCAATCAAACACGCCCATATAACAAAGCATATGGGAAATTAGTATTTCCTATAATGGTCAAACTTTTTCTACAAGATGGGGTGAAACTTATTTTGTTATGTGGCAAGCTACTACAATCACTGAAAACTTACCAACTATTCAATGGTAAAAAATTATTTTTCCTAATTTGAAGCTACTTATCACGTAAAAAAAAATAGTAGCTATCAATAAGTGCATAGTTTTGGTAGAAAAGAATGAGGAACTGTTACTTCTATTCTATGATGCAACCAAATATCAACATCTTTTTGTTTTACTAATCGTGAACAGAAAAAAAAAATTCAATAGCCCGTTTCATATTCATGGGAAGGCGACCGGTAAGTGATGAACGTGGTCTTCAAGATTACTTTAACTGGTAGATGATGTGATTTGAATATGCTATATCCAAACCAAGGACTCCTTGAGAATATAAGATTTCATCAATCAATAGGTAGGGTTTCAACGTTCTTAGCAAATTTTTATTTTATAAAAAGTAAATTGCAATATATTTAGTAGGTATTCCACATATATAGGTAACTTCTTGCGTTATGAATAATTTCTAAGTTGTAAGTTATTAGTAATTTGTCAACACGTATGTATAGTAACTTCCCAAAGTCACGAGTGTAACATAAAAGTTAGTAATTGTTAGACGAGGTTAGTACTTTTTTCACAGAGAAAAATAAGTTGTAATATTCTTTTTCTTAAGTAAAAGGGCAAAGAGAGGTGATCAGTGCTAGGGACAAGTTTTGGATGTCATTGTAAGGGTCTTATATTTTCTTTGGAAAGTTCAATTTGAACTTTGCTAATTCGCACCCCTTGTGACCAGAGATTTCAAAGTTGGTAAGCCCGTCACTGCAACCTCACGAAGATACTAGCAGCTGAGAAACCTCATCACACGAGTGATGCTACTGCTATGCAATATAATACGAGTCATTTAAAAGTTCTCTCATGACGTGAATTGAATTCATGACCTCGTGAAATACAGGTAACCCTTTAGTCACTATGCCAGCCACCTCGGTGGTATAAAATAGAACAGTAGGTTTCCACATTTTTTAATAGCTTTCTTCTATAACCAAAGCAAGTAGTACGCAGTAATTTTGTAGGTGTTTAGCTACTTTTCAAGGTGAAATATTAATTTCGGAGTTGGTGAATAATTTTCTTATTTATTTCATTATATAAGTTTAAACCCAATACTTGAGTAAAGTTCGTAAGTGTTGAGCAACTTCCTAAAGAGCGAATTTTCTGAAATCAGTTTCTGGTTAGTTTTCTTGAAATTTACTTCTTTCTATTGAAACTTATTTCAAAGAAGAGACAGCAAGTTCCCAGTTAATTTGGGTTTGTCTGATCGTACGGTTCTCCTTCTTTTCTTCTAAAGTGATCGGCCCAGATGGCCCAAGCACACAAATCCGTGCAAGAGTCCTATGCTGGTTGAAAGCATATACCGCCTCTTAAGACAGATACCTTTACTTGAACAAATATCAAGTACTGTATAATCCAAAGAGATACCGACCGTAGTCATTGTTCATTTTGGTTTCGGGCTAACATTTGAGTGTCAAGGACTCTTCGAGCACCGGAGTAAAATCTCAAATTTGTATTTGCCGAAGTCTTTTGTCCCGAGCACCTCAAGAATAACTGAAGCATAATACCCGTGCTTCTTGAGCAAGGAATGATCAGTAATCACTTCTCAACTCGATACTATTTTTGAGATGCTCAACGTGGAACAATGGCGATGATTCTGAAGCACGACAATTGTCCTTTCATTTCACCAACAGATATTAGGAGAATAAACATGGATCTCAGATGTGCATGATTTTGCAGAAATTTCATTGCCCGAATTGTGTTCTGTGTTCATTTTGGTTCTGTTCAGATAAAACAGATGAACTGTGATGCTGAATATATTGGTGTCATAATGAAATTCGGAGCCAACCCTCTTGGCAGTTCAAGACAATCGAACAATATATGATCATCACCAACAAAATAACAACCAGAAGTAGTCAAGCACCTCCAAATACACTAAGGGAAAAAAAGTCCAATTCTCTCTCACAAACAAGAAGCAGAGAGCAGAAACAATCATTGCCTGTAAGAGGCAAAGAATATAACTCAAAACACACAAAATATTGGATAACGGCATGTATGTGACTGAAGGTTACTGTCTTTATCCAGGATGACGGATGAAAATCCTGATCACAATGTTGTGAAATTGTATTGCCATGTGCATTGCTTTATTACAGCAGACCAGTGTTTCATCAGCTTATTCCTTATCGTTCCTTTGGTTCACATGAAATTCATCTTGATCCCATCTGTTGATGACTGAAATCAGCTCAATAAAACATGCTTTTGCTCCGATCATACGGTCTTAAATAAGATGGTGCTGCTCTTACTGACAGGTGCATTCTCGGATGGAACAGTGTTGGACGAGACCAACCAGTTAGAAAGGCTCGTGTTCACCGCGCCAAAAGGTTTAGAAGCAACTGAATTGGATCCCAATGAGGAAGCTGAGGGACTAGATCTAGCATTCGGTGAAAATGGCGCGCTAAATTGTTTCTCCAACACTACATTCTCCTTGTGATGGTGCTTAACCTGCGTGGCCTTCGCCTTGACTCTTTTCCACTGCATAAGATTTTCGACCGGGTTTAGTACAGAATCCACGTATTGAGTCCTACATCGAGCATTTTCACTTGTGCTCAGAGTTTTTGTTTCTAGGACACTCATGGAATGATGGGATATCAGGTTTTCAGTTTTGTCCAAATCTGACCGCCACAGAGAAACTTGCTCTTTCATACTCGAAGACACCGAAGAATTGAATTGCAGGGGAATTTGCTTCTGACTCGTTCTAGAATCCTGCATATTGCCATAAAAATCGATATCGTCATCACTGCCTATATCATCGTCCTCATCTTCGAGTTCGAAATCATCATCATCGTAGAGCAATTCCTCCTCCTCATCAGAGCTGTCTCTGCAGTTCTGATACCTATAGTTCTCCGAATAGCGAGCACCTGTTTTAGCAATCGAACCCTCGTTAAGTACTGTTGGGGATCGATCTAACCGGGATGTTTCATCGTTGGGTTTTCTCTTATCTTCCTCTTTATCACTTTCCGAGAAATAAGCATCCGCATTCGGGATGGGCTCATAGGTCTGGACATTCAAGTTGAACCGGACTTTCTTTCGGGTCTTCGCACTAGATTGTTTTTTGCTATATATAAGAGCAAAAGCATTGCAAAATTATAAGTACCCTCCTAATAAATCAGTAATTCAAGACACTTAACGTACAGAGATTGGACTAACCTCAAGGAAGAAGTCGAGGTGCTGGAGTCCTGACCAATTTCCAGATCTAGTTGGGATGAGTTATCCAGAGGCTCATACTTCCCATGACCAACCTGCAACAACCCAAAAACACAAGCACTCAGCATCAATCACGAAATAGAGGAAGAACAAAAATGAAGCTTTGGAAACAAAAAGGGTCTCATGTACTTGGTCTCCAGAATGGATTGGCTTTCTTCTCCGCCCCCGCTTCTTGGAGAGCCCGAAACACGCAAGAAAGCACCCCATCAATGGTGGGGGTGGGTTCTGCAGGGGCGAGTGTGTCTCTCTTCAAGGCTAGAAGATCTTCATGGAAGAGGAGTTTGTCTCAAATAGAGATGGCCCATGAAGGAAACAGGGGCAGGGAGAGACCGTGTGCGTTCTGTGGGTGGGTGTTGAAGGGCATTTGATTTGAGGGAAGAGAGAGAGAGAGAGAGAGAGAGAGAGAGAGAGAGAGAGAGAGAGAGAGGGGGTTTCAAATCTGTGCTGTGGCTCCAAAGTGTTTGAAAAAAGGGAACGTTGGAAGTCTCATAATGATGAAGGAGGAGAAGAGGTGGCGGTGGTGGGCACTCGTGCTTTTATTTAATGAGGAGAGATAAAAGATGGAGACAAATCCAGCTTTGTCTGACAGCTTGCTGGTTACACCATCATGCCCTCTTTTCGCCCATGAAACTTCTCTTCCTCCAAAATGAATAAAATAATTTCCTAGAAGAAATCCTTACATTTTTTTTTTGGTCGAAAGAAGAAATCCTTACTTCAGAAAGCATTATGTTTGGATTTTATGTACAACTAGACAACATTGGAAATGTGGAAAGAAGATTCAAATTTCATATGACATAACATATTTAGCCTCTTTTTTTTTTTAACACCAACAGAGATAAGCTGTTCTCTTAGTAAATTTTAGGATTGATACTACAGAAAACTTAATGAAATTCCATTATGAACATTAAGGAGATTTTTTGTTATTCATGATAAAAAATTTTCAAATGGATTCCCATTTCAAACAAACAACACTTCTCATTTGTGATCGACAATAGCCACCGGAGAAAGGCGATTAGCAATTGCGGTGATCGGCGATTAGTGGCCGGTGGCGACGATCGGCGAATGGGGATGGCAGGTATGATAGAGTTGGGTTTTTCGGTAGATTCATGACGTTAGAAATGTGGACTCATAATATGAAAACTATTGCTAGGTAATCCAATTCCGCATTTTTCAGCAACCCTATTTCAAGTGGAATCCAATTCCACCTTTTGATTTCTCTCCAAACATGAAAAATATAGGAATTAGAATCCCATTCCTCGTTACAAACCTAAAGTCCATTACCATCTCTCTCTCTCAAAATATGCTACAACACAAGCCTTCAGTTATCGCTTCGTCTCTGTTTGTTCTTCTCTGTCCTTTCTTCTATCCTATTTTCAAATTATGAACGATTCGCTTCAACTCCTTTTTGGCTCTTGTAGCGTTGTGGGCACCTGCAACGTCACCGAATGCGAAAAGAGACGCCATTGCGCTCGCCATTTTGATCGGTCTTTAAAAGGAGCTCCTCCAAGAATTGGAAGTTCTGCACATGAAACCATTTCATCGCACAAATCTATTGACAGACAGTGATTTTGAAACGAATGATTTGTCATCGCACTCAAAACATTCAAAAAAACAAGAAAGTTGTGGCAGCTCGAGAGTTGGGTCATTGTTCAATGCTGTTTTCTAGTCACATAATGAATAGGTATGGCCTCACTTCTCAACAACAAAGGATGATTTTTCATGTTGGGTCAATAACAGCAATCCATGATTAACACAGGAGTTTTAGTAAGTAAAATCATGACAAAACTGTCCTAATCAAATCTTGAAATCTACAATATCCAGAACTGCAAAGCCTGAGCATTACCAAAATTATGCACGACTTGATACCCAACCCAAGGCAGAATCTTACAGATGCAGAGGTTGGTACTTGCTCGTTGGCACTGGTCAATTCCGGCTGGAAGCAACTCTTTGGACTATGCCATTTGATTGGTCTATAGAAATTGAATTTCCACAAAAGAGCTCCATAATATACATAGCTCAGTCTTGCCACGCTAACTTGTGCCACTCTTTGCCTTTGAAATCATATTATGAAGAGCAAGAGACGGTTTCAAACCTAACTTCACCATGGCATTCAGTAAATCCTCTGCCTCTTCCCACTTGCAATCCTTGCAAAGAACCTCGATGGTATGACTGTAGCTGCCGAAGTTAGGAACCATTCCTTTCTTGCCCATTTCCGTGAGCAAACTCAGGGCCCTATACGAGCTGCCCTCTTTGCAGTATCCATGGATCATTGTGTTGTATATCACATCGTTGGGTTCTACACACCCATCACGCATTGACTTGAACAGCTTCGATGCTTCCTTCATATTACCATTTGTGCACAACCCGTGTACTAAAACACCGTATGTGTGCACATCAGGAATGAATCCTGCCTTCTGCATGGATGAATAGATGTCGGATGCTTTCTCCATGTCATCTGATCTCGCGAAGGCATCTATTAGAATAGTATAGGTCACTTTCGAAGGAGAGATGCCTCTCTCCTCCATCTCCTTCACCAAATCAGTCACTGCAGGCAAATTCTTGGCTCTAGCGAATCCAGCAATCAAAGTGTTGTATGTAATCAACGATGGGGAGTGACCATTTGACTTCAGTTGATCAAATAAGCTGAAAGCCTTATCCAACTTCCCACAGTGACAAAATCCATGTATGAGCGTATTATATGTAATCACGTCCGGATTCATACCGCTCCTTTTCATCAAGTCCACCAACCTCTCGGCTTCCCAAACTCTCGACTCACGACACAGCCCCCGAACGAGAACGTTGAATGTAACAACGCTGTACGCGATCCCTCGCTCGCGCATTTCGTCGAACAGTTCAAAGGCTCTGTTTACATCACCTCCCCTGCAAAGCACGTTGATCATGAGATTGCAAGTATGTACGCTCGGAACAACCCCACTAACCTTCATCTTTCGGAACAGCTCGAAACCATCTTCCTTCATGCCTTTCCTCAGATACCCATCAAGCAACACTCTGTAGGTGTTGCGCTTGGCAACCAAACCCAGCTCACTCATCTCGGAGAACAATTCTCCGGCCCTTTCGACGTCGTCGCTTTTGCAACAGCCATCGATCAAGGCCGTGTATACGTAAGCCACCGGAGACCAGTTCATCTCCTTCAACCGGGCGAAGATCTCGAGACCCCTGTCCAAGCGACCGGCTTCGCAGCAGCCCTTCACCATGATCCCGAGGCTCCGCTCGTCGACTGTTCCGGGTTTGGCCCTGGAGTCACTGAACAGGCGCCACGCCTTGTCGAACGAGCCGGAACGAATGAGAGAAGTCAGCAGGTTGTTGAGGGCGCTGGGACAGGGGACGAGGCCATTTTTCGCCATTCGGGGGTCAAACAATCATGGTCTCGCTCCGTCGATGGAGACTGCAAAAGGGCAAGAAGGATTGAGTAGAACTAAGGTGTCGTTGGGTTGGGAGATGTGATCAATGAGAAGGCGTCGAGTGGCGGGGTTTCCACCATTTTTGGAGCGGCGGTGAGAGCTTGGCGGGCTTCTTCTCTCTGTCTGTCTTTTCCCTTCATATATGCTAAGCAGCGCGGACACTGACAAGCGATACATGATACGAAAATGTTTAAAATTGACCGGTGCGTGTTGGAATGGCGCGTTGGGATGCATGATTTGCATGTCCTTGACGTGTCCAGAGCGTTGACCATGTGTCGGATGTTTGACACCTGTTGATCACGTGTTGGACGCGTGTCGGACACCGTGACCTCCGGAGAGTGTATCTGCTTCCTAGCATATATGTTGGCAAGTTGAATTGTCATTCAATTTCAAGTTCTATGGCATGCAAAATGCCTAAGTTGCCACTGAATAAGACTCTGGCCATCTTTCATTAGTCTCGTGACAGCTACATGATTTATGGGAACTAAGGGCATGAATGATAATCATTCTGTTTTAGAAACAATTCTTAGAACAGAAATATATATTTCTATTTTTGTTCCCAAGACGAGTTTCTGAGAAAAGAAACCCATTTGATAACAACACAAATTTCTATTTCCTAGAACAAAAATCCATTTTTTTAGAACTCCTTTTGGGGGTTAAAAGCCCTTTTAAATCCCTAAACTAAAGAGTCTTCAAAAATACCATTTGGGCATCTCAAAAAATTTAAATTTCACTCAAAGTGGGTGGCCACAGGTATTTTAAACCATACTGTGAAGTTTTGAAATTTTTGATTTTTTGATTTTTTTTTTTGAAAAAATTCACAAAATTTCCTATTTTCCCAAAATCTGACCTTTTTTTATTTTCTGGGAATTTCTATGAATTTTTCTGGAATTATTCAATTTTTATGGATTTTCTGAAATTTTTTTTTTTAGATTTTTAGAAATTTTCCGGATTTTCTAAATTTTTGTTATGAATTTTTTGAATTTTTTGATATTTTTCTGATTTTTCTAATTTTTTTAGAATTTTTTTTATTTTCCCGCCGGAAATGAACCGGACCAAATCGTTTCGAATCGGTCTGACCAGGTCAAATCGGGGCCAAATTTAGGAAGAGATGTGTTTTGAAGAGAGAAGACATGTTTTTTTAGAAATGGTTTTCATTTCTCGTCCAGAAATAGAAAACCTATTTTTTTTTTGTTCTGATTTTTGGTCAAAAACCAGTTCTGAAACAAAAAGTTGTTCCAGAAATAGAATAATTGAATTGCTTTATCAAACGGGTTTCTGTTCCAAACCTGTTTCCGGGAACAGAAAACTAGTTTTGGACAGAAACAGAATAGTTATCATTCGCGTCCTAAAACTCGTGCTATTGAAACTAAGTTACCAACCCATGTTAAGAATGCTAGTATCAGATTGAGGAAATTACCGTCACGGGACGCAATCTCGTCTTGTTCCGATCGAAACTGTCTGAATTAGTCTCTCTCTCTCTCAACTCGCATCATCTCATGCCTGTGCAACCTGACTCAAAAGCAGTTGGAGAATATAGCTTATTTACACCTTGAAATGCAGATGATTTGCTATTAGTTGCAGAAGAAGAATTTTGGTCTATTCTTTCCCTGATTCGATAACTGCACCCATTTGAATATCGTTCTGGACAACAAAAAGAGAATTGTTCTTTCAACAAGATTAATTTGCACGTTTGAATATGGTGGTCACAACCGAAGAACGATGAATCACTGAAAGAAGCAACAAAAGTTTCCCAGAACCAAGGGCTGAATGATCCTGAGGGAATCAATTGTGAGCTGGCTCAAATGGGCTGTGCTTAGTCACTTCGCAACCAAAAGATCAACTCGACAACGGGAAACTCACGTACGGGTTGGCAAAAGCAGCATCGTTGCCTGGGCGTGAGAACACAATCTGCATTTCGGAGTTCATCAAAAAATTACACTTTGCAGAAGCAGCGCCAAAAGAAAAAGTGCATTGTAATCTGCAGTTGTGTTATTTTCGACTTGACGAGAGTGAAAGTAACTTCTCCCATCACGAGGAAAGAAAGTCGTACTGCCTAAAACAAGGAATCACCTGATAATTTCCGAGCGTGTGAGACTTAAAACCAGCTGCACAATAGTCGAAGTAGTACTCCCACGTCCTTATGAACTTTTCGTCGAATCCCAGAGCTATTATTTTCCTACAAAAGGAGAGAGGTGTCACGACTGATGACAAAACTGAGCAATTGCACCAAAGCGATCGCAGCATCATGTCGATTGTCACCTCTGTTTCTCCATGAAGTTCTTCCTCCAACATCGAAGTGTTCGGTAGTAATGGATTCCTATGTTGTCCAGATGCTCCACGCTGTAGTGGAAGACCTTTCGGTGAATAGACGAAGCGAAGAACAAAGAAACTCATGTACTTAATGTTTCGCAATTGTACCAAAGTCGGGACGCAGAGGCCATAGCTGACGTTATCCTGCTTAACGAAGGCAGGCAGCCACCAGGGAAGATATATTCTTTTATGAAGTCTGAACTCCGCCTTTATCCGTCGCACCGCTCATCGGGTATGGATATGAACTAGTAAAATTTAATACACCAATGAAAAAAAATCACATCTTTAACTTTTGAAACAATGATTCAACCTGCCAAACCATTGTATGTCACATGCCTGTAGAACAAGAAGTCCGTCATTGGCTAGCACCGATTCGCAACAGCCGAAGAACTCCTCCATGTATTCGTGGCCAACTGCGTCTATCATCTCACTGTGAATTCATTCCATTAGGAGAGTCTTTTCAGCAACTTTTTGGTCTGTTTAACCATATCAAGAAAAGACAAAATGGCGAGAAACTCACCAGGAAATGATCCTGTTATATTTGTAGGTACTGGGCAATTGGCGATAATCGCAAAGAAGGAATCTGATGCGGTCCTGTATCGAAAGGAATACGAAAGGAATACATTATCTCTTGGACCAAATAAAGTAAGTTTGCAAGTTCAAAATGCTGGTAGATGCCGGTGTATTTGCATTACTTGAAGCCCTGCTTCTTTCACTCTCAATTCGGCATACTTCAGTTGCTCTTTTGACAAAGTAATGCCGGTGTATTTGCATCCGATTTGCTTGACAACTTCAATGGCCAAGCTTCCCCAACCGCAGCCGATTTCAAGAACTTCATGTGTCTTTTCAATTCTTGCCTACATTTTTTTAAGGCAAAGCATTAGTCACAAAACGGTCGAATGTTAACCCGTCAAGCAGCCCGAATTTAATAGCAAGTAAAACTTACTTTTGTAATCAAAAGAGAGATTTTTCTCAACTGTGCCGCCTTTAGGTCTTCACCTGCCATCTATCAAATTTTTCGACAGGATAACAATGCGACATTATTTTGAGCCACTAGACTTCATTAATATATGGATTTGTATTTATTCTCACTTCTAAAGCACATATTCAGCAGCAAAATTTCAAAACAGGGTTGTGGCTGCTGACCTTGAATACCGCACAGGAGTATGTCATAGTCTCATCCAAGAACAGCGAAAAAAGTTCATTACTCTGCAAACACGATGAAATGGAAATCGGCGTTACAGAATACCATATGCACAAGCACATTCTTGCTTCTGATATACATCAATGTCGATAAACTGAGAACGTATTCTAGTTCGTTCTGTTCTCATGAGAAAATGCTAGGAAAAAAGATAAGGAATAAAAGTATCTACCAGATCATAATGCCGGGAGATGTTCCTGCGAGCTTGAGTCAAAAGTGTTCTGCCTTGAAACATGCTTGAAGAAGTACTTAGCCGAAGCAATACCAGCTGTTAAGAACATCGGTGTCCACCAGCCCCTAATCAAAAAGGCGCAGCCACTGGTTTAGTATCTTTTAAATCATATAAAGTCAAAAACATTTTGTTCCAATTAGTAAAGTATTGAGTACCTTTTTTTACTTAATTTCGAGACGGCAGTATCAGAATCTCTGTTGGCTATGAGAATCTGCGAGTTTCCATATTGTTGACAAGCGATTAAGCATTTGATATGTTTGATAGGATACATCATTTATAAAATGAAGTCTGTTTGATGAAGAAAATAACCTTTAAAAGATTTAGGAGACCTTTATCTTTGTCTACAAAAGAAAAATCACCATTTATGTATGCATCTGCTAGGCCTAGATCGGCCTGAGTCATGACCTGAAAAACCAAAAATTCTTGATTAGGACATATGGGTGCGCATGATAACCATTCTGTTCCAGAATGAGTTCTTGAAACAGAAATATATTTTTCTATTTCTGGTTTAAGGATGAGTTTCTGAGAAAAGAAACCCGTTTGATAACAACCAAAAATTTCTATTTCTGGAACAGAAACCCATTTGATAACAGCACAAAATTTCTATTTCCTAAAACAAAAACCTGTTTGATAAATAACACAAAATTCTATTTCCAGGAACAAAAATCCATTTTTTTAGAAATGGAATAAAAATAATTAGAAAATCCAAAAAATTCCTAAAAATCTCAAAAAAATTCAAAAAATCCAAAAAAATTGAAAAATTCTAGAAAAATTTATCACAATTTCCAAAATATAAAAAAAATTCAGATTTCGGGAAAATAGGAAATTTGTTGAATTTTTTTAAAAAAAATCAAAAAATCAAAAATTTCAAAACTTCATAGAATGACTTAAAATACCTGGGCCACCCACTTTTAGTAAAATTTAAATTTTTTTAGGTGCCCAAAAAAAATCAAAAATTTGAAAACTTCACAGAATATTTTAGAATACATGTGGCCACCCACTTTGAGTGAAATTTAAATATTTTAAGGTGCCCAAAAAAATTCAAAAACTCAAAAATTTCAAAACTTCATAGAATGGCTTAGAATACCTGTGGCCACCTACTTTGAGTGAAATTTTAATTTTTGGAGGTGAAAAAAAAGAAAAAAATTAAAAATTTCAAAACTTCACAGAATGACTTAGAATATATGTGGCCACCCACTTTGAGCGAAATTTAAATTTTTTTAGGTGCCGAAAAAAAAAATCAAAACATAAAAAATCAAACATTTCAAAATTTCACAGAATGACTTAGAATGCCTCTAGCCACCCACTTTGAGTGAAATTTAATTTTTTTTAGGTGCCCAAATGGTATTTTTGATTTTTTTGATTTTTTAATTTTCTTTTCGGCACCTAAAGAAATTTAAATTTCACTCAAAGTG